TAGCGCTATCCGTCCTTCGTACAACCGGTGTCCCAGGAAATTTGGCCCCCCCCAAAATTTGGCCCCCTCGGGCCAAATTTCCTAAATATGGCCCCCCTGGGGGCCATATTTCCTAGAAAATATGGCCTCCCCTTCGGAAATTTGCCCCCCCTCGAAAACATAGTTTACTTCATCGCTTATAAGCTCGGAAATCGCGAAGCTTCTTCTAAAACCAAGATCCTAAAAGTGTTTGTCCGTATTTATAGTTAGTTTGCATAATTTATTTGTGTCGAAATTCTTCGCTGCGGCCAAGAGCTAAAAGTTTGAAGGAAAGCGTAATAATAATGTGCTAGTGCAGTCATGCCAGACACATCACACATGGGTATCTGTGGAGGACAACGTTAATGTATGATCGCTTAGCTTTAAGCTAAGAACACGAAACGATTTTTAGAGATAGGAATTTCTAAGATATTACAAAGTTATTTAGATCTATTTATTCAGTCACATAGTATAAAATTAGTCAGAATAACAACCGCACTTTAGCAAACGATGACATCTGCGTTGGCGAATATGTTAATATGCACGTGTCTAATAAATAACAGAGAGCAATTAGCAGTAAAAGTAGAATTTTAAGTGGAAACGTTTGTTCAAAAAACAAAATTAAATGAGTGATTACTTCGTAAAAAAACCCTTGAATTTCCTATGCATTTACACATACACAATATATATACTCGCTCATATGGTTGGGATGCATTATAGAAGCATTCCGTAAAAACGAAAGTAGACTGCATGCTTCATGGCTCACAACTGAAACATTCCGCACACAAAAGCACAAAGGTTTGCAATTGAATGACGTTCCGTAAATTCCGTTTCCTTAGCTTAATGATACAGCCATTATTTATTAATGTCTTCTACAAAGCTGGTCAAAACCAAACGCGAAAAGTACGCTAAACTTTAGCTCTTGGCCTAATTCTCGTCAGTATTGCAATTCAATGGAGAATTTTGACACAAAAAATTACACAAACTGACTATAAATGTTGAGAAAAATTTCTAGAAATTTGTTTTAGTAGAAGCCTTACGATTTCCGAGCCTAAAGATAAAACAAACTAGAATTTTTTAAAGGGGGCCAAATTTCCGAAGAGGGGGCCATATTTCCTAGGAAATATGGCCCGGGGGGGGGGGCAAATTTCCTAGGAAATTTGGCCCAGGGTGGCCAAATTTTCGGGGGGGCCAAATTTCCTGTGACACCGGCCCCAAAACATGCAATTAAAATGATTTTAACAAAGAGAATAAATACCAGACACCAACATTTACTTAAAACCCTACCTTGCTTCTGCGTGTTACTCGGGCTTCGTTTTGGTAGACCGACATGGCGGACAACTTCCAGTATTACATCAAAGCCTACAATGCACATAAAACCATAATAAGATAAAACATTTTTCACAGAATTCATTATAAAAGTGGACCCGGTTGAATTTCAAAAACAGAACATAAGGCAATTTATCGATGAGCATGTATTATCGCTATAGCAGAAGGCTTTAAATCATTTTGCGAAGTCTTTTTTAACGAATCAAGAACAACGATTGTGTTTATACTAGCTTTGTGGGACATTTAGCCTGTTTGCCGCCTGGAAAATTCAGGCGGCAAGCAGGCTATGGGACATTGTGACAACTCATATTTACTCGCCGCGTGTTATAGGCGGTGAAGTGAAGCGGTTTTACAAAGTAACTGCGAGGGTTTGCATGCATGTATTTCTAGTATAATTTTTTGTAGAAACGAGCTTTTGGCCTTCAGGCTACAGTCTGTATATTGTCGCTGAAGCCGCTTTGTAATTTGCATTTTTGCCCCTAACGGTGTTGCAACATAATTCAGATTAAAAGCTGTTTTCCACTGGCGGAATTTTGCGCGCAGAGCGGAATTTTTCTTTGCCTTTTCACAGAGCGCTCACAAACAAAGAGAAATTCGCTCCCCCCGCAAAATTCCTCCTAGTGGAAAACAGCCTCCGTATCGTACTGAAACGTACCGATAAGCATGCGCAGGTTAAAGACGAGCTATCATATTTACGTACTTCCGGCTGATTCGCGTATCAAAATTAAAAGTTCGCCTCAAGTCAACTTTCTGGCGTACTATGGAAGTATCCACGAATCAACATTCGCTAAATTTTGAAATTTAAAATTTGTTTTATCGCTACGAAGTGGAAAACAGGCTATGTTTGTAATGTGCACGTAATGTATTTATGTGACGTCACTTGTGTGTTTGAGTTATCAAATTCAGTGCAACAATACCATTGTAATCATTTGCAGTAATACAAGCTCTGTAGTAATACGTTATATAAATATTACAGTGTTCTGTCATGCGTTATAGCTTGTTCGTTGTGTCAGTGATAAATTTTTGTTGATAGTCGTTTGCTTGTAAGGCTGCAGTAACTTCGTTCGTCTTAATACCCGTGTTGGAAAGAATTAATAATGCTGTGGGACAGCCGAAAGCTCGTTTATAAACGTCTCGTTTAGAAATGTACATGTGACCAATGAAATTTGCTTTTATGCATGGAAGGCTTTAACGGTGACCGGTGAGTAAATCAGTCTTTTGTCTATATAACGACATTTTAACCTCTATACATACATTGTTTAAACGGGCTGCTGTGAGTTTAAAAGCTTCGTTCGTATTATTAAATGATAAATTCAAACCATAAACTATACATTAATTCTTATTTAATAGAAGATCGTTGCTAAGCTTGTTTGACCGAAATCTCGCGGTAAAAATAAAGAGTTGAAGCTTGTGTCCTCTAATACAATTTGTATGATTTTTAATTTTTAACCTCAAAGCTTCATAGCATGTTGGAAATTGAACTTGGACTGGATTAAAAATGAATAAAAGAGCCCAGCAAATAATTTCGATACGAAGCATATTTATAAATGAATTTAATTGCTAACGTTATGTTGTATTCAGTACAACATCTTTAGAGCTTTGAAGGGAATATTACATGGTATGCTATATATTACAATACAATGGTTTTATATTACTAAGCGGTTATAACATTAAACCATTCTAAAAACATTATAAAGCCATTCCATTGTAAACCATTATGGAACCATTCTATTGTAATATCATGTATATATTCCACATTTAAAATGCCCTTCAAAGCTCCGAAGATATTGTACGGTATACAACGAAACCACAGAGGAAATGTTAGCTAATTAAATTCTTTTATAAATATGCTTGGTATCAAAATTATTTGCTGGGCTGTTAAGATTTGCGATAGAGTGGAGTGGCTGGAATGTTATCTTTTGCAAATATTTATCAAAAGGTCGGCAAGATAAAGTGACATGTAGGCGAATAATCAAATCTTAAGGAGCTGTTTACAGGATTCCTCCTACCCGGGATAAAGCAAAGCGTAAAATGGTTTTGAGGTATTGAGATAAGTGTTTATGAAACCAAACACTAGAACACTCTTCATATTGATCAATTGGAAAAAAATATTTGCTATGGATAAAAACTGACACGATTCTTATTGCAATAATACACATATCTCTCAATGTTACTGCAAAAAAAATAGAAAAATGGCGCGAATAAAAATGGCGCGTAATAATGGCGGGGAATAATGGCGCGCATATCCTCATATATAAACACACATACATATATTTGGACATATTTAAAGTTTTAAGCCTGTTTTCCACGTCAACCGTATCGTAATTGAGCAATGGGTTCCTTGTTGGTAATCGAGCAATGGGTTCCTTTAAAAAATCCTTTAAGAAATTTAAAACTCTCATTCGGCCTGCATGTTTGACCATGACTATGTATAAAAGAACGAAGTTTACAATGAACTGACGTACGAGTAACTGCAAGCTGCTTTGCATATAACTCTATCTATTTTAAGTGCAAAGAGTTCATTAAACTGGATTGGATGATGTATGATTTTTTTATATAATGCTCAATAAAAATAAAAAATGGCGCAAACAAAATTCAAAAATGGCGCGCTAATATTGGCGCGCATATCCTCATATATAAACACACATTCATATATTTGGACATATTTAATGTTGTATACGTATTTATAAAGTATGAATCTTATTTGTTTAGATAATGATTCCATTATTCTCTAACTACTGGAAAAAAATATAGAAAAGGAAGAAAAATTTAAACATTTTACTTTGTTAAAATGCTAATTAATATAAGATTTAAATTTTGTAAATGCATTTAAATGATGTTCGTTCAAGGAGGAATTTTTAAATCAAAACATATAAAAAAGTCTATATATTGACGTTGTTAAGCTCTAATATTTACGATACCTTTTTCTTGCTGATTCCTGCATGTGTCTGTCTTCCAGCCAAGCTCGTTGCAAATGCGTTAGAAAATAGCAATCGCACAGTTTTTTTGATGCAGTGTAATAAGATATTTCCAGTTACTTATTTGGGCGCCAAAAAAATAGGCTGTCACTTTACTAATTCATCCAAATAGGAATCCTCAGTTGAGTGTCCCAAAAATTCGCCTGAATATTTCTCTTTGTGTGAAACGGAAAAAAAAACACATTTTGAGGTAACATGCATGTTTGATGCCTGATTATTACATTGTAATATACGTATAAAATCAAACACGTTTAATAATTAACTTAAACTCTATACTTGTATGTAAATAGATATGGATGCATGATTAATATGAGTTTGAAATGAGTTGCCATTTGCCTGAGTTTTGAAAAAATAACAGCAGGCGCACTCAAATAGTTTTGTCATCTTTATTTACCGTTAACTTTATTAAATAGGAAAAACCATCTGTATAACTGTAATGTAGTTCAGTTATAATTAATTTGAATGTTTCACGCGGTGAGTTACGATAATAATAAGTTAATACGTTTTTCATTTGTGACTACACAATGTAAATTAATTTATTTGTTTATAGCACTGAAGCCGATCTGGGTCAACAGATCGAGAGCTCTTTAAAGCCCTGGTGTATAACCACAAATTAAAAACAGTATTTGTGGTTCTAAAAATATATGTTAAAATGGGCACCAATCTCGCGAAGGATTACACAGTGAATCTTCCCAGTCTCGAGAGGAGAAGCATTTCTAAGTTTATTTTTTAAATTTTATTTTATTTTTCAGGCAAAGACGTTACTTTTGGAATATTTTATTAACTTCGAAACAACTACAGTTTGCTGCTCATCTTGATGTGGAGAATGAAATCGGCATGGCCAGTGACATCATGCAGAGACCGATTATTTACAGATAACAGAGAAATTCCTTAAAATTTCATTTATGAATGACTTAAGAATATGTGTATATTTTCTCTTAACATGAACCCTATTGTCTTCTATTCACAAGGGGAACAAGTTTTATTGCGTTATTCCACCATGCATTCAGTGGAAATGTTTCATAGGTTGCCTTGAGTTTGGGCATTTGTGTTTCAATTCTTAATGGTTGAATAGGGCATATAGTTAATGGAAATAAACATGGTTAGGAATGTCGGTAAACCTCAAAGAATCTCCTATTCAAACTTTAACTGATGCTGAAGTGTATTTTCGAGTGCACAAATCTTTTGTCTTACGTTGATCAATATTAAAATATTGCAGTTGAGCGATTGAAGTAATGGTTTTTATTGGATAATCGCTTCATTATACAAAATCCTATTGCACAAATTTCCATAAACGTGAACAGAAACATAGAACAATGCCTTTTGTAGAGCTTCCTAACCATGTTTATTTTCTATTAACTATGAATAGGGCCATAAATTCTCAAAAAAATTAGTGCAAATTTAGAGAAATTCTATTGATTAGATTTATACGATATATAGTTTATGTGATGTAGTTTATGTGATGTAATTTATATCGCGTAAAACACTTCCACTCGTTTTAAATACTACATAAGGCCATAGTTAATATATTAACTATGATAAGGCACTCAGCTCGTTTTTTATTTCTTAAGTATTGTACAGTGGGATGTTGAGAGAACAATAGAGAATGGCGTAAGTTTTCTATTCCTGAGAGAACAATAGAGAATGGCGTAAGTTTTCTATTTCTTAAGTATTGTACGACAGGAAAGTTGAGAGAGCAATAGAGAATGGCGTAAAACACTTAGCCACCGTTATTGTTTTTACAAACTTCTTTCGTGTTCTCACATAACTCAAAAAACGTGTATTATATAATGCTTTAGAGCTCAATAAAATCATCCCACTCGTTTTATCATTAGTTTCGTTATTTGTGATTTTACAAAGATTTTACTTTTTATTTTACAAAGTTTGTTCAGAATTATAAAACTGTTGGCTATGGTAGGCAATGCTATATTATTACAATGAAAAATTTACACACACTGTCAACTGAACGAATTGTCGGTTCTTGTTATTTTCGTACAACTCTAGCTAAGAGGAATTTTCATCTTCCCAAAAGTGACATGCGCCTGGCAAAGTGTGTAAACGACGTATCTGAATAATGTTGAGTTAATAGAATTATCACAGTTCTCATTTGTTGAAGAACCTCTTCCGTAGAGAGACTCATGTTCTTTGATCGTGAGCTGATGTCGACGGCGTAGATGATCTGAAAGTCTTGATACAGGAATCTTGTAATATCGGCAATCAGGTACAAGACAGGGTCTTCTTAAGTGCCGGTCAGCTGACGATTTTTTGCAATTCCTTTCCATGGCGTTTGGGGTTTGGTATTTCTCATGCTGCGCCATGGTGATACATGGATGAACTCTCTTCAGATGCCTGTCAAGTCGTTTAAAATATAATCCATGTTGTGTACAGCCCTTCACTCGACAAACTCCGCTTTGAGGCATGGTGTATTCCTTGTGATTTCAGATCAATGTTTTAGCCAGATGTTTAGCTGTGTATTATCAACACACCTCACTACGTATTTTATAGTTTGGGCGGAATTTGAGGCGATACAGATTTTATAAATTTTCCCGCGCTATATTTAAGCTCTGGGTAAATAGGATTTTTTTTATATAAAATTGCAAATCCGATATTCAATCAACCCCCACTTGAAAAGTTTATCGCTTTGATTAAATTAATGCAGCATTCCAAATTTGAATTGTTGAATTGCGAAATCAAGTATTACCATAAATAGCACCAAATTAATAAAAAGTCGAAGCAATAGTGGACATGCCTATTAAATCAAGAAGTTCAAGGGTATAATGGAAGATTGCATGAATACTGATTTTTGAACCGCTTTGGTATCAGTCGATAATCAATTCACTGATACGTCTCAATGATGACCCAGGGCATATTTACTCCGTACATTCTTAAAATTCTAGGGGAACTTGTGTTCCAACGAGATCACCAATGCACGTAGTTTTTGCTAGTTTTTATTGTCGTAATTTGTCACGTCTTATTTTGTCGTAAATATCGCTATTCCGGTTTTCATAAAATCCGACATTTGTAAAAAGATTGTAAATTCGCAATTGTCGGGAAAACCAAAAAATTACGACGAATTACGATATAGGAAAACCAGCCTTAACC